AAAATAAAATAATGAAAATTTAATCAAACACATATTTGAAAAAATCGCTTGTATAAGATCTTTATGATATAGTTGTCTGATCTCCATAATTTTTTGTATCAAAAAAATATTTATTATATATACTCATAAGTACTAACTATTATGCTATTAAACGATTTGATGAAGTATTTAAGACCCATAATCACATACTCGAAAAAGAAATATACAAGAAATTAAGTTTACAAAATAAATAAATAGGGTACATAAAAATAAACTAATATAAAGTACATCAATAAATATAAATCCAAAAGAAAATTGTGCCGTTCAGTATTTATTTTAACAAATTTTTCTCACAAATGAATTATAAATTGAAGTTAAAAAAAAATACACAAAAAATTGTGTTCTTCCTTTTAAGGTTTTTTAACTTCGTATGTCGCGCCCTTAGAAAGCGAAAATGTTTGAGTACATTAAATTTATGGCCTTAACTATAAACCTAAAATTAAATTTATTATTTTGAACTTGACAGTCAGTTTGGCACTCTCTGCCATGCAAAGCAAACGCTAATTGAATTTTAAATAGACACGAGTATTTTAACGTTTGGCTAATTCTACCATTTCGTTTGAACTTACAGTTTCACTTGACAAATTCTGTGTAGCATAAAAACATTAAATGGATTTTTCAAGTGTATCTCCATATATATATATATATATGTATATATAATATATTCCGTACAGTGTTTGCGATTTACTAGAGAAAAAATGTTCTTTTATTAAAAAGAAATTGTTCAGCAAATTGAGTACGGATTTCTTCATATGCTTCATTCTTTTAAGAAGTTGTTACAAAATCAATTTTCTTATAGTTCACTCGCATATTTTGCATTAAATATATTTCTATATTAACAAAACTATGTCACCTCAATTCGAATTTCGCAAAGTAGCTCAAAATTTCTTTAAAAAGAATTCAATGCGCTTGCTCACTCATTCATTCGCCTTTACCTGTTTTTCTAGAAGAATTTGAAAAATTCAACAAAGCTATCGCATTAAACATCAACACCGCAGCATTGTCAACCAAAATCAAACAACAACAAGATATGCTAATTGTATTGGAATTCGAATTAAATCAGACACCTGGTTTGGCAGCGTACAGTGTGCGCATTGCCTTAAAATAGTTGAGAACTTTACCATTCAAAACACCCAACAACACAAGTCAGCACAGAAGCAAACGAATAAACAACAAACGCCAATGACAAATTTGCAATTCATGAAAAATTACAACAAAAAAATACAAAAAATATTCCAATTCGATTGAATAAACGACGACGGTGCTGAAGGAAACAAAAATAAAAAATTTTGAAAAAATGTTGAAAAGAATATGTAAAAAAAATTAAAACTAAAAGTGTCCAGTGCTAAAGTTTTAAAAAACGACCATTGCAACTTTGTGCGCAAAATTTGCTGCCAACATGATTTGCGTCATCTCTTTTTACTTTTCTTTATGAATTTGTACATATTTTATTTGTATTTTTTTTTGTTCAATCGCGTCCGATTTCACACCCCGAACACACGACTGAAAATCGTTTTTCGAAATTTGATAATGATCAATGAGTTTTATTAGCAACAAAAACTGTTATTGCTGCAAACTGCAAAAAAAAAAATCCAAGTAACCAGTGACCGCGACCACAAAAAGCAATTATGATCATCATAATTATCGTTCAAAATCAAGATCGATCTATTGACGATCGCCATCATCGCCAAATTAGCATTTTTGGCCAATTCGGAGTATATATACCGTAAAGCAATACGAAAAGGTACCGTTAGAATTTCCAACTCGACGACGTGGTAATCGAATACGGAGTGTGTATTAAATGTAGGAGTTGGCAAGATCAGTAGGTTGATGCGCTGAAATTTGTGGAAAAAAAACTGAAAAAGAAGAAACATGTGCACATCACACATACGACTGAACTGAAGTGAATTGAAGATCAACATCCAACGGTTATTTTGAATTGATGCAATTGAACACGACTTGCTATTGAACTAAGCCAACAAAACAATTGGGACGAGCGAAGCTAAGCTTGAGTTGAACTGAGTGGAGTTGCACTAAGTCAAGCCAATCTTGTCTTGCAACATAGAATTGCAACAGATTTAAGTGGCATGCAATTGACGGCGACGCGTCAGCCAACGCTCACTAGTTATGCTTGCTGAATGTGGCATAGCTGATGCGGCGGGACCACCTCAACTAGTGAGTGAGCGTCACACTCGTTATTGGCAGCGGCGCAAAAGTATTTACTCGCGGAAAAGAAAAATAAGAAAATTATATCGACAAAGTGCAGTAAACATAAACTTACATAAAACTAACGTAGAAGACGGTGGCATTTGCGGTGTGGTAGTGAATGGATGGAGGAAGATGCTATTTGAAATTCAATTAACCTAGTTTCAACTGCCATAGTGCAACAAATGAACTGTTGTGGCAGCGATAACAACAAAAGCAACTCATCTATGCTGAATAAAAAAGCTTCGGCGCTTATATCTAGACTTCTCGTTTAATTATTACGTATATCAGCGCTGAAATGTGGCAAGTGACATGGTCTGCTATTACCATTTCTCCATCTTGGTTCATCACTGGTTGCATAATCTTTAACTCTGTGCGTTTGTAAACGATGGAAAATAATGCGATTTTTTTTTCGAAGCTGCATAACAAAATAAGTCTGAAAATTCAGAATGGGTTACTGGTTCACGGGTTTTTTGTTAGGAAGAACGGAATTTCACTTGCTAGTAATTCACTTTAAATAATTTTATTATACCCTTGATGAACTAGCGATTCTTTCTGATATGATGTTTGTGTTCAAAAGTCGCCGCAGCATTTTTTTATTTTTTTTTTAATTTATTTTTTTTTTTATTTGATTTGATTTTATATCATTTCATTTTATTTAGTTTATTTTATTTTATTCTATTTAATTGTATTTCATTTTAATTTATTTTATTTTATTCCATTTCCTTTATTATATTTAACTTAATTTAATTTAATTTTATTTTATTTTATTCTATTCTATTTTATTTTACTATATTTTTTTTTTATTCTATTCTATTCTATTCTATATTATTTTATTTTATTTTATTTTATTTCATTTTATTTCATTTCATTTCATTTCATTTCATTTCATTTCATTTCATTTCATTTCATTTCATTTTATTTCATTTCATTTCATTTCATTTCATTTCATTTCATTTCATTTCATTTTATTTTATTTTATTTTATTTTATTTTATTTTATTTTATTTTATTTTATTTTATTTTATTTTATTTTATTTTATTTTATTTTATTTTATTTCATNTTATTTATTTTACTTTATTTCATTTTATTTATGAGCTTTTTTTATTTATTTTGTCAATTTTTTCTCTTTTATTCAATTTTTTTATTCACTTCAGTTTTTTTTTGGTTGTTCTAATTTATTTATTATGTTTTATTTCATTTTATTTAGTTTTATTCATTTTAATTTATTTTGTCTTATATTATTCTTATATATTTAATTTAATTCGATTTAAATTTCTTATTTTGTTTATGTTTTTTTCAGTTATTTAGTTAGTTCATTTTATTTTAAAATAGTTTACAGTATTTAAATATTTAAGTTGATTTTTCCGTACTCTTTCAGGCTGAAGAAATTCCGGTTATCATGTGCAAGAACTAGCAGATAATCGTTTTGCCCACTGTCTTCGAAATTAAATATGATGCACCTGATTTTATGCACGCCACTGAAAAACGGTGGTTTTCTAATGTAAGTTTTATTTACGTTTCGGTTTTGTTATCTTCTAAGTCTTTTGTTATTTCTATTTTCATTTTATTTAAGTCTCACACTTTGCCTTTGCTGATCCTTCGCTTGACATTTCACTCACTGGTGTTTTGTGGCTGCGGTTAGTGTTGGCGAATAACTTTTGTACTCATATCTCTGGTAAAAACCCTAATTGCACTTTAGTAATGTGCGCAGAAAATGTCAAAGAAGTCATGACTCATGACAGCCAGTGAGAGTTAATTGGTTAGATTTAATGTGTTGCTCCAAAAGCGTATACCCTGTATACATACATTTTCTTTGATACTATCTTTCTCAGGTGTCCCAAACTAATATATAGTGATAGAAGTGATCATAACATGCAACGATAAAGTTTTTACAAAGAAGTTTATAACTTAAAATTTTTTAGAAAGGAACACATATTCTAATGAAAAGCAGAAGAAGTAGAAAAAGTGTTGCGTACTTAAAGCCAAGTAGTACTGATACTAAAGACTACTTCAAAAATTGTTTGATAAGTTTTCGTTAATTTTATGATGCAAACATACTGCTGCGGTCATGGATTCTTCTCTGTCTATGTTTAATTATTTTATAGTTACACTGATGTTTTAGAATTTTTATTTTCGACTAATACATGGGTAAAGGTGGACTTTATTATGCTTGTACCGACACCAACTAAGGAATTTTAGATAAATAAGGGATTTCCTAAATTCAAAAGCGCAGGTTTGTGTTTTGACATCTGTCAAAGAATTGAAGATAAAATAACTCTCTGGTGAACTCTTTGGTCCATAGGTATGGTTGGACCTTGCTGCCTTGAAAACGACAATGACGAGGCTGTCACTGTCAATTCAGAAATTTATGATCGTATGATAACCGACACTTGAAGAATATGCTTTGGGCAATATGTAATTTCAACAAGGTGGTGCCACATGTCCCCCAACACGAGAGAATATGGATTTATGGCAAGAGAAATTTCCCGGGCGCGGAATTTTCCGTCTTGGCGATGTCAATTGGCCACCAAAATTGTGCGAAGGGCTTTGCTTATGCGGATAAACCTTTAACTTAATACCGGCCAATATGTGCCAAGAAGTGGTCGAAAATCACATCAAACGGATCGAAATTTGCTAAAACTCCCCATCATTTGTTGATATATCCTCTGAACTATTTGATTTTATTGGACAGAGATTTTTATAATTAAAAATTCTAAAATTCATAAAAGTAAATACATTTTTTTAGTGCTTACCTTTTTTATATTTTGAAAAGTTATTGAATCTGAAAATGTAGAGAAAAATACTTTTAATAGAGTTAAAAATCGGGGTATTTGAAATAGGTAGTATATTTTCCTGCGAAGAGGCTCTTTTGTGTATAATTTTATTTACACATATATTTTCGTTGAGACCAAAAATTGTGTTATGCTCAGTTCACTATGTACATATGTAGCGGAGAAAAATATAGATAAAGTGTGTTTCCTTCACTTGACTCAATTCCATTGCACTTTACACAGACAAAAGTTATAGAGCAAATTTTTTTACTGATATTTTCTACATATTGTAGGTAAGTCAAAGCTATTCTTTTTAGCAATCACATCTAATTGCCGTAAGGCGTATAGGCGTTTTACAAAATTTTTGTTTTTATTTTTACATTTTCTCTCAACGTAACACCAACCAAGTATGGCTTAAAGTATTAAGTAAGGCTTTAACGCCGTAACACTTACACAATCGGCGATTAAACGTAAATGTGTTGACAGAAAGTGAAAAAGGCAATTACAAAAAATACAGATAAATAGAAAAAAGGTAGAAAAACTCAACAAGTGGGGCCAACAATAGGATAAGCCAACAATGAGTGTTGGCTTGTTAGTAACATTCATTTCACTTTCCCTATGCGGGCGGCGTGTATGAAACCCTCACGCACATAGAAAAACTACAAGATTTGAAAAAAAAATAAAAAATTACTAATTTTAAATTAAAAAAAGCCGATAGACAATTTTAGCGTTGCAACTAAAACGGTGCAATCACAGCGAACAAGAAACGCAAACCAGAGTCTGCAAGTCTCGTTCATGCCACACACGTTGTATTGGAAATTGGCTGGTGATTGCATGCATGAGAGTGTTACTAAAGACTTTTACTTTTTACCTCGGCGCAGCAAATCAGCGCTCGCTGATTGTGTGTGACGCGGATTATCGCACACGCAAGCCATTGAAGTAGCGGAAAAAATAAATAAATAAATAAATATATAAAATAGAAAAGCAGTTTGTGTTTACTTTTACGAATTTTCGCTAGCCTGCGCGCTTGTGTTCCGCATTCAGCGCAATGTCATGCAAATTTACATGTCTGCTCGTCGCCAAATTCAGGTAAAAAAAAACTTGGATTTACAGGATAAAAAAAAAATTACAATAAAAAATTAAAATTGAAAACAAAAAAAAATAAAATGAAGCAACTCCACATTTAAGAAAAATAACAAAGCTGGTGCGTCGGTTTTGCTTTAACACTTACACACCACCAACATACGTGCATTGTCATTTGCCTGGCTATGGCTTGTCAACACGTTTTCGACATTTTGTGGCAAGCGATTAGGCCGAGACAGACTTGCGACTTGCTTGCTGTCTAAGTCTTTTGTTTTTGGTGTTAACTCGTTAATAGCGTGTGCATAAGTACATACCCATAAGTATGTGTATATATATTTGTTAGACAATAGCATATTCTCTCTCTCAATGCATTATATTGTTGTTGCTTTTGACCATTAATGGCTATTTAAATGTTCACTTTTGCAAATCGTTATTGCACAATTTGGCAAAACACTAACAACGATAACAACAAAAATATTATGGAGAAAATAAAAATTGGAAAAAAACATTCTTAAAACAAATCCAGCCCACTCAAACAATCCGAAAAAGAAATAATAACAAGACAAAGGCCTAAGGCAGACGCACATCACACGTTTTCGCATGAAGCGCAAGTAAATACAATTCGCTGTTGTTATTGTTGTTACTCTTATTTTTCATGCTATTGAAGCTTAACTTCATTCCTCGCTCCCACACTTTCATCGCATTTGTCTATTGTTTTTATTTGCGTGCTTACCCAATGGCAATTTGCACGGCAGCGGCAGCGGCAGCAGCAGCAGCAGCTCCTCTGTGCCTCATCCCTTGTTTGTACATACATATATACGTGATAGTATGTCTGTCTCTTTGGATCGCTGCACACAATTTCTAACTTGTCTACGCTTAATTGTCCAAACACGATACTTTGTATGTTTTTGGCTAATTTCGTGGCAAATTTCAATTGTCAACTGTAAGCGTGCGCAATTTGCGTACTCTCAACCATACAATATACATATACGTGTATACACACATATTGCTTATTGTTCGTTGTGATAGTTATTTAAATATTTTCGATAGTGGGTTTTGGTGCGCAGGCAAAACGATTTTGTAATTGAAATAGAAATGAAAAATAGAAATTGAAATGGAAATGGAAATTTTATGTGATTTTTCCGCATTCAGCTACAACAGTAATAACAATAGCAGTATGTTGATTTAGCTAATGACTGATTGTTGTGTAAGTTACTACTTTTTTTTTAGTTTTTTGCGCTCGAGTGCAGCGAAAATCGTGAGGAAGCATCTGAAAAAATGCAATTCTTTTGAACAAAAATATTATGTAAGGCAATGGGAAAATTAGTTTTCGTTGTGGGAAACTATTTATGCAAAAATTAGTTAATTTTTTTTTCGTATGGCCCAAGATACGGGAGAAAGTATTCTTAATTTTTTTTATTTTTTTTCTTGGACTTTCAAAGTATTGACACGCGTTGTTTATGTATGCAATTTGAAAATTGCATTTTTGAAATACTTTTTAAATATATTTATTCATCACCCCAAACCGGTAGTAAGATAATGCTTTCATTGCAATAAATTTCATATATTATATAAGCTAAAAGAATTTGCGCAAATGTGTTCCGTAAAAAAAAATAAATATTCTTTTTCGAAATAAAAAAAATGTCGAGAACTTGATTCTTATAAAATACATAAAACTAAGATGCTAAATTACTATTCCATTCAAATTTTACATTCTTGATTTTTATTACCTAATATGTTTTGAAAAAAAAAAAAAAACAAATTTTTGGGATTTTAAATTTTTAAATCAATCTTTTACAAATAATTTTGATTCATTTTATTTTTACGTAAGATTTTTTTTCATTTTTATTTTAATTTAATTAATTTTATATTATTTTAATTTTCTTATTTTATTTCTTTTATTATATTTATTTAATTTCATTTTATTATGAAATAATATTATTTTATATTTTATTCTATTTTATTTGAGTTCTTTATTTTATTTATTATATTATATTATATCATATTATATACAAATATACAAAATATTATTATCTATATTATTCCGTATTTTTTTATATATCATTTTATTTTATTTGTATTAGTTTTGTATTATTAAACTTAATTTTTTTTTATTTTAAATAAATTTATCTAAGTTAATTTAGCTTTATATCGTTTTGTTTTTTTTTTCATTTTATTTATTTTTATTCAATTTAGTTTAGTTTTATTTTATTTGTTTTATTTCATTTTACATTATTATGTCTTCTATTTTGTTTTATTTTTTGTTTTACTTTATTTTTTATATTCTTCTAATTTATTCCTTTTATTATATTTTTAGTTTTTCATTTTAATTCATTTATCTCAGGTATTGTTTTTTTTTTTCTTTTTTTATGAAATTCAACATCGGAAATATTTACTTTATATACTTTCCATATAACAATATGCATGTGAATATGGGATCTCTATTTACTTGTCATTATAGTTATTATATATTCTTTTTCTTTTGTATTACTTTTTCATTCCTCTTCTCTTTGTAACTTTGAGCGCAAGCTGTTGAATAGAGTCTGATCGTGACTGCTGAGAGAGCAACACGTATTCTGAATCACATTGGACCACTTTACCTGTGCATCAGTCTATTAACTTGAAATTCATTACTTTTCTTTTTTTTTTTATAAATTAGTCAGAAACAAAAAAACAATTATTGCGAGTTCACAGCATAAAAGGTGTGAGCGTAATGCTCAAAATAATAAACATTTAGATAATAATAATTCATATATAGCGGTGAATGAAACCAGGAAAAGAAAAAACCAAAGTGTAAATGATCATACGATGGCAAAAATCAAAAACAACTATTACGCGATTCTCGACAGTGAAACAGAGAACTGTGATGAAGATGTAATAAAGAAATTTGAGCGGCAAGTCCTACTCAATAACGTAAATAAGAATATTGAACAACAAAGAAATAAGAATGACAAGCCAACAACACCAGCATCTTTAAATAGAACAGATCCCACAAATAACACCTGTGAGAATAACAACGCAGAAAACAATAACAACAGTGCTAAAAACAAAAATATGAATATTCCTCCAATAAATGTGTGCGAAATTCAATCTAAACAAATAATTGAATTGCTATAAGACGGACTTAAAATAACAAAGTTTAAAATTAAAGAATACAACCAAAATAAGCGTGCTATTCTATTGTCTAACTTAGACGACTATATAAGAGTGCGAGGCCACTTAGAAAAAGCTAAAGCAAAATTTTATTCATACACTCCAAAATGTCTCAAAACTAAAACCTTTCTAATGAAAGGCATAAATCCAAATATTGAACTACAACTTATATACGATGACCTTGCTGGCTATCAAAACGAAAAATTAAAAATTGTAAAAGTCAGCCCGTTTACAACAAAAAAATCTCTACAACGCAATATCGCTCTCCCTATGTTTATGGTTCAAATTAGCGCCGAAAGTAGTGTTCATGAACTAAAAGCGATCGATAATATACAATATCATAAAATCAAATGGGAATCTCTAAGAAGACCGGAAATACCAATACCATTCCATAGTGCTGCAAACTGCCATCTTCCACCTAGGTGTGTCAAATGTAGTAATACACACAAGAGCGAAAATTGCCAACTATCCGAGGAGCCAACCATTGAAAAGGACAAGCTCTACTGCATTCTTTGCAAGAAACATGGACATCCAGCTTCGTATAAAGGTTGCGAACGTTATAAAGAATTGCAACAAAAAATTAGGACCAAAAAACAAAACTTAATCTTAAAAAATAAGCCTGAGAAATTAGTCAACCCTAATATTAGTTTTGCAAGCATCACAAGAGGTGCAAATAGAACAAATCATTCAGATATGCTAGGCATTCAACAATTCTCTTCTTTAGAACAGTTAAATAACATAGTTTTAACTTTAAGTAAACAATTAAACCTGCTCC